TGTCGATGATGTGCCTGTCTACCACGCGTCCAAACTGGGCCAAGTTTACGCGATGGTAGTCCTTGCGCAGGCTTGAAGCAGGAGCTACGTTGTATCCCAGTTCAGCCACCACTGGTTGATGGCCGGAGCTGAGTTCGTTCAAGGCTATCGGCTTGGACAAGCCGATATTTGTCAGGAACAGGTCTAGTGTCGATGGGTTGCCCGCCGGTGAGATAAATGTTGGCTCATCCGAAAACTAAACGGAGTACAGCCCATGCTGTAAGTGGTCGAACAGCAGATGACCGTTCTGGTTCTGCTGGTAGTTCCGCCAGTGATGGTGGACAGGTCTTTCTTGAATTTAGCCGCTAGTCCGCTGCTGGCGGCACACTGTCGAGGGCAGTAGACGGCGATGAAATGGACGTATCCAGTCACCGACTCCACCTCCACACCAAGGGCCTCGATGTTAGAGCTGCGGATATGGGACAGACTGCGGTATTTTATCCCTTTTCTGACGATGATCGCAAAACCACCCCCCCCCCCCCCCCTGGAGCCGAATTAGGTGTCGCCGGACTTGATGTGGGTCTCGGTGAAGAGGCCCACGTCGATGGGTCGATGGTATGCTTGCGGAGGAAGTCCGCAAGCTCGATGGTTTTTGCTCTTAAGTGAACCCTACACGATTGCTTTTATTGACAATAATCGTATTGTCAATACATGCTATATTGACGTCAATATATCGAGATTGACAATATTTCTGAATACACATCATCAATATTATTGTCAATAATTCCCCTTCGCGTCAATATATTGATGCGTGTGGGGTTTGCTTTAAGGAGCAAGCGTTCCATGTGACTATGCATAGTGGTTTAGACGCCATAATGCATAGCCAGTTTCACGATTGTTTCGAACTGTTCGTTCTTGTTGGTGTACTTGCGGAAAGCGCTTGTAACATGGACGAACATGTTCCAAAACTCGTCCACCGAGTACATACCTTCTAGCGTTGGCGGTGTTCTCCAGGATCCAGGGGGGAGTGGAATTTGTTCACCGGGTGTTGGTTGGGGGGAGCGGGTTGCACTCGCGGTTGCTGGTTGGTTCGAAGAGGCGGAAAATCGGTGCAAATGAAAAACTTCGAATGTGATTCAAAATGTCGTGTTGGGTTGTAAAAACAACGCGGAAGATTTTTTCGATTACCGCGAGTGAACAAACCGGTCCTTTTTCGGAGGCAGAATTTGGTGAGATCCATCTGATTTATAATCAATCATAAATGCATATCCATATATTACTAAATACGCGCCAGATTTCGAAACATCACATTTCGAAATCTGGAAGTGTGTTTGCAGTACCATTATTCATATGATAACGGTAGTGTTTACATGCGGGGCTTATTGTATGTGAAAGTAACCTCGGAATGGACGTGAATTACCAGGCATTCTGAAATGGGTTGCTGAATCTGCAGTATAGCTATCGCTTTCTAACTCCCGGACTAAACTTGCTTAAAATTATTACATCAAGGATTATTGTAAGCAAATTTCTTCCATAATACCACTGCCGGCCAGTGGGGGTTAGATTGTTGTGTGTTGTGTTGACGTGACACTCGCTTTGATGGAAACCAAGAAATGCTCTGCACTTCCACGAGGAATCACTGGGATGCTGGGTAAGAGGGTTGGGTTTTCGCGTACAAGATTATAAAACGTTTATTAACAAACTATTAATCCACCTATTCCTTTGCAGTTGAATTTTACCCGTTCAATTTTGGCAGCCAGCCCGAAAATTTAGTGTTGCCTTTATCTAACGGGCTTATTTTGAAATTCAATTTATGATTTAATTGACTTCGGACTTTATTATAAGTTGTAATCACAAGGAGCAAAAACACAATATTTTGATATTCCGTTCAATCTTGGCACGTTGCCAAAATTAAACCCCGAGCCAAAAAGAAAAGTTTTGTGATTTTGTTGCTAAAATCGAACCGTGCCTAAATCAAAAGACAACTGTACAAATATTTAAATTAAATATATGGTATGCTCTCAACAGTGTTTACTATCATAATCACAAGTGTTAATAAGTAGGAACGAACTCACCAAATGAATCCATGAGGAATGTCCCCCAGAATGAAATTGCATGGCGCTACTGGCACTTTCATGGTCCACCTTACTTGCTTGAATCAGAATGATATCCACCTGGTACTATTTCAACGAATTAACATGTTGCCTCTCCTTGAATACATCTTGATGCCTGGTGATTCCTTTTCTTCAGGGAGAATTTCCTGTAGTCCTGTATTTCTTATCTTTTTGTAATTTTCACATTTTGATCATCCAGATCAGGTTCAGCTAATATGAAATATCACTAAAAGAGTCCCCAGGATCAGCCCTTGTGGTTCGCTTCTCCGTGCCGTCGTTGCAAACGAAATAACGTCGGGGCTTCACTGGAGGAGTTTTTCTTGGGAGCTGCTGCCCTTTGAAGCTCTGAAAAAACTTCATGACACGGGTTTTGTTGAGAGTCACGGATAGACAGCCCTAAACTTGAATAACTTTAGAAATCACTATCATATTGGTTTTTATACTGTTTTAAACATATGCCGAAATCATTTCTCCGAAAAAATCACAGCAAAGAAAATTCACCGCATACATTTCTAGATAGAGCTGGAATTAGGGCGTAACAGCTTTTGTAAACAATTGCTTCTCTCGATAATTTCTCGAAAGGCATGACTATCCCTGGCAAATCAATATTGCCATCGAATAGGGGAAGACTTCCCCTACCCGATGGATATGTTGGTTGGTGTAGGCGTGACTTGAGTTGCTAGAAATCAACGAGAGAAGTCATTGTTTACAAAAGCTGTTACGCCCTAATTCCAGCTCTATCTAGATTTGTGTGCTGTCATTGGTGAAAATTATAAAATTCGGATTCACTCGACAGTTATACCATACAATGTAATTTGACATCATGACATTGTTTTCCATTATTCATTAGACGTTCATGCTTTAATAATAAAATAATTAAAATTAATAAACATTCTGTCATAATAGTGAAGAGCGTCGATCATCATTTCGTTGCGACATTTGCACCAACTTACTCGACAATTATCACACTCGAAATTCGACTGTGATAATCGTGATTTAGGGAGAGTCTATTTCATTTTTCCGTTTGAATAATCATGTTTTTAAAATTTTAAGGGGAAATCGGGCAAAATGGATGCTTTGCTGTGTGTCCAAGATGGGACCATCACCATTCAATTCTCCGGAAACTTTTACATGAGTACAGTGCAAGTGATTTTTTTTTTATTATTGGCAGTGGCACTAATTTATATAACCGCATGAAATATTAGTTATTCAAATATGAGGGGAGAATCGGGCTAAATCGGGTCCACCACTAGACGAGACTAGCACAATTCGATTCCATGGATAACTTGACATTAGTTTAGTGCATATAGGTTCAATGCTTAGAGAATTCAACTACTCGATTGATGGATCTAATTTGTATAGTTTAAGGAAAAATCGGGTCAAATGGACCACATCCTGACGTCTGATCAAAGTGAGGCCAGTTCTATTCAACTTCCCAGCTTTTTTTATAATGGTACAGTGCATGTTTTCAATTTAGTCGTATCATGCTCAATTTCTGCATGATAATTTAAGTTTCCTTCCAAAATAAGGGGAAAATCATGCAAAATGGACCGCTTGCGGCAGCCATGGGACCATCACAATTCAATTAATAACTCGAAAAGTGCTTCAAAGAACACTAAGCTGAGAACAGGCACAAGCTCGTGTATGAGCGTCAAAAGCCAGAAAGAAGAAGAACGCGTAATCACGGTTGTTTGCACGCAAATATTGCAACAATTAAATTGCACGGAAGGCATTTTCTGTCGATCGGGTGTGTGCGATTCGACAGAACATTTTATGCCCATTGCGAAGCTTTTTGCTTGGTCACGTTGTCACGTTTTCATATTATTTAGCATACCAACGAGTGTATTTTGTTGCTGTTTGTTTTTGTTGGGGTTTCATCACTGCGACGATTATTTTGATCGATTGGATGATCACCATGAATTGATCAAAAGCATCACCACATAGGGGAAATGGCTCTTATGCTGGCCTATGGATCTTAGATTGGGCCCATCGCTAAAAATCTGCTATTTATCAATTGTATCTAGATGAACGCGCATTGGGACGGTACTAATGGATATTTTTGGTGCTATTGAAAATTTAGTCGATTGCTGAATTTAGGGGCATTTAAGCCGACATTACATCCATTTCCCCTATATCATATATTTTTTTCTTTGGGAAATGCATTGCATGAGGTTGATATAAATATTGTATAGGCGTGTGGAGGCCGAAAATTTATGACGGACACCATTTTGAAATCCAAGATGGCGACTTCTGATTTGCGGTAAAAAGCGTCAAATATCCTACACGGGAAAAAATTCGTTCCAAAATTTGTCATCCTCAAGTCAATAGTAGGGGGAAGCATTTTGCCCGCCATGAAAAAGTTTCTTTGAAAACCTGAAAACTTTCCCGTTGAGGTCCTGCAAAAACCTTGGAAAATGAGAGAATATAGTAAATTGACTGAAAATGAAAGGGGATCACTATAACGGCGGCATTGTACACGTTCATAAAAAAAAAACGAAATCCCAATTACACCCAACCGGGAAATGTAAGATTCTATTACTAATTTGCATAAAAACTATGCAGAATTCGTTATGTTTCACCGCATGAACAGTAATGTGGTCGTCGGAAGGTTTTTCAAATCATTTTATAATTTTAGCTAAAATTTTTAACAAAGTTTGCTTTCCCAAATGCACTGCGGCTAAAACATCATCTCGTGAAGGTTTCATTCAAAAATATTAATTCAGTCCATTGTAAGAACTGCCATTACATTTATTGTAGGAAATAGTGCAGAGGATGTAAGAAATCGACCCTTACATGTGATGCTCCTGCCATTTGTTTTGCGTTTAATATCTCTCCCAAAAGTCTCCCTATATTTACACCACATGCATTTATGTAACTAACTCATTTTCCGCCTTCGATCCCTTGCAGCTATCTGGCCGGTCGGCTCAACGTCATCACCAACACCGAGGCCAAGGGCCTGAACACCTTTGTGGGCACGTTCGCTCTGCCGTCGGTGATATTTCTCTCGCTGGCCGAGCTGAACTGGAGCACGGTGAATTGGAATTTTCTGCTCTCGATCTTGATATCGAAGACGATCGTGTTCCTCTCGGTGGCAGTCATTTCGCTGCTGGTGGCCCGACCCGTAAACTATGGTCGCGCCGGAATACTGGCCACTTTCTGCACCCAGAGCAACGACTTTGCGATTGGATTTCCTATCGGTAGGTGCTGTAGACGGATTTTGTTTTGATGAAGATTAACTAATTGTAGCCTTGTTTGGATTTTTTTTTTCTAGTGTCCGCACTGTACTCGAAGCTCCACCCGGAATATGCGTCGTACATCTACTTGATGGCGCCCATCTCGTTGGCCATCCTGAATCCAATAGGCTATGTGTTGATGGAGATCTCCAAAATTAGAGCGAAAGCGGCGGAAGAAAACCAGGTAATTGCCTTTTGCGGCTATAACTGCTGTTTACTTTGCTTTATTTAGCAATTCATGTACGTCCAAAAATACAAAGCTACGTGTAGATACAAAAAGACGCAAAAGCAGACATTGAACCATTCGGTGGCGATTTTTTTCCTCATTATGCAATCAAATTGCGATCGCCGGCCGGCAATTCCACGTTTTTGCATTTGAATAACAATCGTATCGTGCCGAGTGATCAATAATTATAAGTTCCTTCTGCATGTCATATTTGAATTGGCGAATCTCACTGCCTCATGCATGGTAATCTCAATTTAAATACTATAGCATAAACATGCAAACTCACATTGTTTTTGATTCCTATTTTATTTACAGGCACTACAGCAAACCCGTCGCCCCTCGATTCCACCCTGTTCCCAACTGGCCGATACCGGCAGCACCGGTCGCAAGCTCCTGAAAGGCAAACTCCTAGTCATCGTCAAAACGATCGAGTCCATCTTCTTCAACCCGGTGCTCTTCATGACCGTACTGGGCGTTATCGGGGGACAAATCTTCCGTAACGGAATTCCAACCGTCCTCGCCAGTATCCTACAGACACTGGGCAACTCCTTCTCGGCGACGTCTCTGTTCCTACTAGGCCTAAGAATGGTCGGCCAAGGAGCTACCCTGCAAGGACCTGGCCTGATCCTGCCGGGCATCCTGATCCTGGTGAAACTCCTAGTCCTCCCGCTGGTGACACGCCAAACCGTCAACATAATCGGCGCCGGGGCAAACTTTTCGGAGACGACGGATCTCAGCACGTTCGGGTTCCTCTATGGAACATTCCCTTCGGCACCGGGTGTGTTTGTCATTGCCTCGCAGTACAACCAGGATGTTGATCTGATCGCCAACAGCATGGTCGCGTCCACGTTCATCAGTGCTCCTCTGATGTTCATTTCGGCCAAGATGATCACCATCACGAACCTGAATCCGTCCGACTATCTGAACGAACTGGACAAGTTTGCGTTCGACATCAGTATCGTGGCGATGCTCTGCTCCGTATGGATGTTGATTCTGTTCACGCTGACCCGCAAGATGAAGAAGATGCCGCATAGGATAACGAGCTGTTTGATCATATCGCAATTGATCTGCAACATCGGAGTGATCATGTGGTCGACGTTCGAGCAGAACTCCGGCTGGAAGATGTATTTGCAGTTTTACTTCTTCACGATCGGGTGCTACAGCAGCCGGCTGTGGACGGCATTCTTGGCGATAACGATCCTGTTTCTGCAGTGCCGTAGTTTGTGCTTCGTGCTGAAGCTGTGGCCGGTGTTTGTAAGTATATACCTACCTGTAGGGGAAAATGGTTCGAAATAGCGTATCGGAAACGAAGACTGGCTGAGCAACCTTTTCAAATGAGATAATCACTACCCACACACTCAGCAACGTTTTCCTTGTTCGGTAATTTTTTACCGAAAATAATCGGTAAATGAAGAATGTTACAGATTTTTCGGTAAACAAAAATAATTTTACCAACATTCGGTAATGTTTTACCGAAGTGACGGTAATCTGGCTTTTATATTGACGAACTTCGTTAAAAAGAGTACAGTAAGAACTGTAAAACAAAGTAAACGCCGAATTCGGTTAAAAAATACCGAACAAACTGCAAATTACAGAAACGTTTACCGAACTTCTGTAAATAATTCCAGACTGTCAATCGAAAGACGGTCATATTTATATCAAGTGTTAAAGTAAACAGTAACAAAGTGACCGGAAAATCCAGTGAAAACAATGTAAGTATGTTCGCAAATACAGATGAATAATGCATCTATTAAATATTCCTAATGAGATTGATAATTACATTTATTTCTTTCATTTTTATGATTGCTCTTCAGACACAGCCAGGAATTCTGTGCTTTCGGGATCAGGTTCCAGTCAATGTTTCTGGACTGGCATCCCCATGGAAGCAGCCACCTGCGAAAAGAATAGTTCAGCGAGCAATATATGTTATTTTAAAATATATTTTTACCTATATGTTTACTATTGAATAAAATCTCGTAAATAATAATGCAAAAAGAGCTTTAAATTTTAATTCACCGGAAAAAAAATCAAAAAATACACAAGATAAACAAATTTTCATCGTTTCGTAATCGTTTCGATTACCGAACTGTTTACCGAACGTTCAGCCACAGACAAACAGACATAACACTTACAAGTTGTTCATTGAACAAGCATTTAACGGACAATTTAAAAGTATCGTAGTTGGTAGTACCGACACCTTTGGCGCGCATAGGTAATTCCCTTGCGTATGAAGTTTACACACTACCGCCATCTGTTCAGCGTAGTGCCTACCACAGTATACTCAACAGATGGCGGCAATGTTTTACAATGAGCATATTCAATGAGTTATGTCTGTTTGTCTGTGTTCAGCTGTTGAAAGTTCGTTAAAAAATTACCGAATACGGTAATAATTTCTAAGTGTGCAAGTATTGTAGAATTTCCAATCAATATCAAGTTTTACCACAGACAAACATAACACCAGTATTCGGAAAATCATTCTCAAATCTCATTATTTGAGCCTCCCTGCAAGAATAAACTGGCGTGCGAATGCGGCAAGCAAAATTCACGCTTATCATGCATATTCACGCACTCAGAATCATAACGCCGAAAAATTATTCCCGCTTTAAACTCATAAAAACCACTCTAACGTCAATTAATAATTTTGTTCGACCATTTTCCACAGAGATGGCGCTGTTCCGCTGGTAGGAAGTGATAAAAACACCGACAAACCGACAAGAATGATCATACAAATTACCACAAAATTTCTGCTCAAAGCACACTACCGACATCTGTCTCCATGTTCGCGGAAAACGTTTAACTAAGCCACGAACACGAGTGCAAAATGTATGAGTTGGTTCGTGTCTGATCTATTCTGGACATGTTAAACGCTGTCCAGACTGGAGAGTTATAACATGTTATAACGGTTGTCAAATAATTGCAACACAGAGACCACCATCAAGATAGCGCTATAACATGTTATAACTCTGTAGTCTGAACGTACTATTAGATTTATCTAGATGAAAAGTTTCTATGGTTTTGACAGATGGGATCGCTGCAAAGTTTCTATGGTTGTGCCAGATGTGACGCTGCACATTTGAATCGGCCGTTATAGATTTTCGAGCGAAAGCTAAGTTTAAGTTTCATGTCAGTTTGTCGGTAATAAAAATCCCCATATAGAAATTGAGAGAAGTGGGAATAATTCGCTTTCGGTGCATATTCAGGTCAAACAAAGTGAACGACAACCTAAAGAAATTAATCAGGGACTTTGTCGTTCAGTTTTTTCCCGAAAATTATTGTTAAACAAGCTACAATTAAATAAAAATGATTTTTCCCCATACAATTTTACCTGCTTTACTACTGAGGGGGCGACTCTATCTAAGATGCAGGACATTTTTTGCTTTGCTGTTATGAGATGCACTCGCGCACGATTGATTATGATTTTGAAGATTTCCTGCAAAAAGGTGGAGATCGATGCGAGTAGATGGGTTTAGATGCAAGAGATTAAAAAAGATTTTTCGTAGATTGATTCGCTCATGTGAGATTTTTCGACCATTTGAAATCGAGATTTAGATGTGTCGCACCCCTTGCTTTACTACCAGTTCCCAGAGAGCCAAAAAAAAATCAAATTTGAGAGAGAAAATTTGCTCTCACGACCTGAATCTCTCAACATGCCATGTATATTGATGACACTCGATTTGTGATTTCCCTTTCACAGATTACAAAATAGAGTACCTGACACTACATAACATGTCTGGTACCTCTATGTATGCATTTGCTTTAACATTTGAAGTCCCTCCTTTTTTACATATTCTGCGCTAAAGATACTTTATGCCCCGCTCCATTCATAAAATTCGGCGGAAAATTCTGTGAGGGATGAGCTATTTTGTGAGCAGAATGTGTAAAAAAGGAGGGACTTCGAATAATAATCTAAATTAAAGAGCCTGAATTTATAAAGAGACGACATATCAAAATTGGAACAATCGAATGTCTGTCAAAGTCATAGGAAAAGTCATTCCAATCGAGCAGAAGACCTGTCAAATGGATAAGATGTCACCTCTTTATAAATTCAGGCTCTTTAATCTAAATGCATATATAGAGGTACCAGACATGTTTTGCTCTGCAGTGTCCTCTGTGAACAATTATAGGAAAACAGATTGTGTGTAGTTTCCAATAGATGTCACCGCAAACAACAGCAGTGGCATCTGATGGAACATGAATGCAGAAGCTGACAAAATGATTAAATGATAGCATGCCTATGCATGTTGTGTTAGTGTTCCAACCCCTGATGCGCAAACAATAGTAATAACAATGAATAACGCCAAAATATAAAGCAATGAATTTTTGAACATGAAAACTCATCGGTGATTTTTGCGACGTTGAATTTTGCAAGGCAAAACTCATAGGCGCATGAACTCATGCATGAGATTTGAGTTTTTGAGTTTTTTTCCGAACACTGCATAACACTGACAAGTTATTCATCGAACCCGTATTGTTTTTAGTTGGTAGTACCGCCACCTGAAGCGCGTATTAAATTTTCTTGCGTTTGACGTTTATACAATACCGCCATCTGTGCCGCGTACTGTCCATCGCAGAATACTCAACAGATAGCGGTAGTGTTTAGTGACGATGTTTTAAAGTGAAATATATGCAATATGTTATGTCTGTTTGTCTTCTGTGGTTTTACTATTAAAATTGAGGAACAGAACATCCAAAACTGCTATTAGTTTAATCGATATAAGAGGTAAAATATCAAAAATAATATCACCGACAAACCGACATGAAACTTAAACTTAGCTTTCGCCCGAAAATCTATAACGGCCGATTCAAATGTGCAGCTATCACATCTGTCAAAACCATAGAAACTTTGCAGCGATCCCATCTGTCAAAACCATAGAAACTTTTCATCTAGATAAACCTAACATGTACAGAATAGATCAGACACGAACCAACTCATACATTTTGCACTCGCGTTCGTGGCTTAGATAAACGTTTTCCGCGAACACGGAGACAGATGTCGGTAGTGTGCTTTGAGCAGAAATTTTGTGGTAATTAGTATCGTCATTCTTGTCGGTTTGTCGGTGATAATATCCTAAAATCTATGGGACCATAAGTGAGTAATAGCAAAGCTATTTGTTGCCATATCAAAAAATAGCAAGATTCAAAATAAATTAATATCACATTTTGCTATTATATCTCATTATTTAACTTAATGAGAATGTCAAATTAATAGCTTAGTCTACAATAAGATCAAAATTAGCTTCTGAATTCATGATACCATCATATCATAACAATATCAAATTATGCTTTGATAGGAGAATATCAAATATATCATATTAACAATATGATCCATTCATGCCTTTTCCAAATGTTGCAATGGCGACCCGCAAAATATTGCTTCACGCACCATCTAGCGTTGAAAAAGGTCAGCAACAATCATTCAATTACAATCGAGGGGTGCGAATATAGCACTTATTACAAAAGAGAGTCAAATTATTTTCATTAATTACATTGTGTATGTTACTTTAAAATTTGTCTGACATGTCACTGTTGCCATCAAATAAAATAAAATGCTGAAATATATTAATTTTAAATATTCAACAATTTTTCATTTGGTTCACCCCTCGTGACGATAAAAAAAATACATTGGTAGCCTTTTTGGTCACAGAGGTGCTTTCATCGCTAAAAATTCGGTTCGCCAGCTAAGTGAAAGAGTGGATCATATTGTTAATAATATAATATATTTGAGAATATGCTATTAACTTGTTACAGCATATTACTTACCAATAAAATAATAAGATATTGACTACTCGACGCAAGATCTCACTAATACAACCTAGCTAGCGTAGCCGGGAAAATCGATTTGTAAAATCTCTGGTCACGTCTTCCTTCGGAAGGGAAGTAAAGCCTGACGAAACCGACGGTAGAGTCAGGGCAACGAAGTGGAATATCAGCGGACGGATTCGGACCTGTTGTGGAAATAATGGAACTCGCGAGAAATCACTTTAACTACGTTTATTGATCGAGCGCAAAATACAATGCAACCGAACGCGGTAGCAGTTACTTTTGGAATGATAATGATGTTCGTTGCCTTCTCTCTCATACCCCGAGTGGGTCAAGATATATAGAGAGGAGTAGAGGTGGGTTGAAGTGGTAACTGTTGTATCGTTCCACAAAGCCGTTAGTCCCGGCCCATGTGTGAAAGCTGCCTTCCTGCACATTCGATTGCCGTCAATGGATGGCAATCGATGTCCGTCGGTGATTGGCACTAGATTGCGGAACAGAGACCGAAAAAATACCGGTGTATAAATAAAAGCACCCAAAATTCGTAGGAAGGGGGCCTAGATAATTCTGGAGCGGGCCTGGCCCTCTTGGTACCCCGTTGGCTGCGCCAATGACTATCTCCCTACAGTTAATAGAATTGGAGTAAAGTTTTGTTTACCGCTAAATTGCCACTTCGGCCACAGTGCATTGGCATTTTTTCCTATTTCAGGCGATTCTAAGACCATTTTTGCGTATTTAAGGTCATTTTGGTAATTCCATCGTCTTAAAGTGCTATTTGGTGTCTTTCATGCTATTTTATCGTGTTATAACTATTTATGCGTTTTGATTATACTCTTTTAATGTATCCAAACTGTTTTCGCGCTTTAAGGCCATATTTGGACTGATTTAGCATTTTTGGGCAGATGCTATTTCAGTCAAATTTCAGCTTTATTTTCAAGCATTTTTTTTTTGCCTATTTGACGTTTTCTAAATTATTTCGATGTTTCAAGAGGTAGAATTTAAGCAATTATGTAGTTTGATTGCTTATTGGCACTTTACAGCCATCAGGTTTGAAGTCCCCGTTAGCAAATATCCTCCAAGTTGACGAATTTTCGACAAAATACAATATAACACCCTTCTCCGTTCCAGATTGCTGCAGCTTGGGGTCTACCGACGATATTCGTATCGCTCCTGTTCTTCCTGGACAACAAGAACATAACCCCAACGGAGAAGCGCAACCCAAGTTTCCAGTACGGGAACGCCCAGGCAGCGATAGCGGTATTTCTTCTAGTCATGTGCTTCATCGTCACCGTCGGCTGTCTGATTCTGCACCAGCGATTCAAGAAACGGCACGAAAAGTATATGACCCTGTCGAGGGAGGTTTCCTCACCGGATACGGATACCAGCACCCTGGGAGCTTCATCGGTGACCAATTTGATCCAGGAAACGCCAAATACCACAGAACATAGCAGAACGGTACATAGACGGCGGCATTCGATGACTTCGAGCGATGACGAAATGCTGAGGGGAAACGATTCCGGATGCGGAGCAGGTGCTAGTGGGTGTTGTAGTGCTGGCGCAAATACTCGTCGAACCGTTGTTGATATTGAAGATTTGGTTGTTCGTGGGAGTGTGAACAATGACATCGAGAAGTGAGTGACTTAAAATCGCGAGTTCAGATAAAGATCAAGGCTAACCTTTTCTGTGTGTTGCAATTTTAGCGAAGAAACTATAACCTCCAGCGGAATGTGCTCGGCGCAGTTCAACTGCCCATCAGCCTCGAAGCAACAGTGCCAGTCGATGATCGCGCACTATCGGGAACAGGCTCGCGATGGCCTGGAACCGTTAGAGTTTGACAAAACCGTTGATGAACACCAAACGCTCAAACACATGGTCCTCTTGATTCTGCTCCTCTGTTCCATGTTCGTCGGACTGGCGCTTTCGGTATGGACCCTCATCATGGAAGGCATGTCCGGAATCTACGTCGAGCTGACCTTCCTGGATGCTTTCCTTAACTTTGGTCAGAGTATTATTGTACTGGCCGTGTTTATCAGCGACACTGGTGAACTGCTACTACCATTGATGAAGTTTTGGCGCAAGGTATGGTACGGAGCCAATTTGCTTCAGCTGCCAATCTGGAGCGAACTATCCGCCGAAACACAACACATTTGCGATCAGTTTACGACGCATCACTTGGACAATTGTCGAAAGGCGATTGCCAGGGACAAGAGGTGCCATTCCCTAACGGACAATTTATGGAAGCCTGATTTAATGCCATTATTCTTTTTACAGATGGCGCATCCGAATCTACAAGAAGGTGTTTTACGGCAATGTTTTCGTCGAATGGTTGATCGAGGTCGGATTGGCGAAGGATCGCTCGGATGCAACGCACTACGCACGGCGACTGATCGATGGGCGGGTCCTACGACACATCAACAATGTGTACCACTTTCACGATCGCAATCTACTGTACACGTTTTGCGATCGCTTGTAAGCTGTTTTAGCGATCAGGACTGGAGTGCTTTGCTTCTATCTCGCGGCAGCCAGTATTTCTAAGAATTTTACCAAAAACAAACCCACAAAAATAATTCTAGGAATAGCTAGGAGATACAAGCCAAGAGCTCCAAGAGTTTCCTCTACACAAAAATGGAACCGGTTACCAAATATGAAGACAAAACGGAAAGTATTGTGATGACTACGACGACGGTACTCGTAGATTATTTCTAGGCAATTAATGTTTCTTAGAGCGAATTTTGTTGAATATTCTTAGTTTAGGTATTTATTCTTCTTTTACGTTGATTGAGCGGCAAGGCAATGAGTGATTGTAAATATTTGAATCTTTCTTATGAAAGGACCAACGTACGGTAGGATGGAACGTGTACATTTTATATCGCATATTTTAGATATTTAATAGCAAAGCTTGCTTAAAGGTTCTCAATCAATACACAAATTTTAGTCTGATACAAGCTACAAGCAGAACTATACAAAATATATACGATATTTATCATGATATTGTGCAGCTTCAACCCTCAGTGTTCTTTTCTTCCGATGACCTTTTATTGCATAGACGGTGTGTGAAGGATGCCTTAATCATTTCAAGCTTTCTCGGGAAGGATACCTGAACGTTTTCTGGATTTCTCAGAGCTTTGGCTGGCGATTGCAAATTTGAAAGAAATAGGGTAGAGAACTACTTCGGCCTAATCGCCCATTTTGGGCCTATCGAGCAGACAACTTCAAATAAATCCATGATTTCAGAGTTAACTCAATCATGCGTTTGGTACGATACTTTAGTTAATAAGCTACCGAACGAAGTCAATGAGAACGCGTGATATGAAGGTTTGCACCCATTATTTTCAAAAACAAAAGAAGCGCTCCGACCAAATCATGTTTTATCTTCATCCGATAGGCCAAAGTGAATTTATTGGCGTTTCAATCATGTTTCAAATGCGTTAGGCCGAGTTTAGAATCCGTAGGCCAAGTTTGGCGTCAAGAAGCCGTGTTAGACTTTTGACAATATCTCAACGATTGGTATCTCTTTATCAAATCTTACGGTACGTACGGAAAGGTAAATAAATTTGGAAGCCATCAGTAATAATAACATTCCGTTTGGTGCTAAACTGCGCTAGATTAAGAAAGACTAAGTGCGAGCTGTGCTTAATAGGCCGGAAATGGGGTAGTTAACCCTATTACCAAATTTCCACTGCTTCGTCAAGTACGATTGTGAGAATGCCAACAAAATTTGTTATGTTTCACCGCATGAGCAGATTCTGTAACGTGGTTGTCGGAAGTTTTTTTTAAATAATTGAATAACGTTAATGGTCGGTAAATATTCAAGTTCATTCAAAGTGTTTTTATGTTACTTCATACGCGAAGTTAACGATTTTCAGAGTTGGTTGGAAATGCTAACATGAAGCTTTAGTGTGATGATTTATTAGCTAGAGAATGATCTTTAGAAGAGGGTAGGTGGATAGTTCCGTTAGAGTAGAGTTAGAGTTAGATGAAGTAACATAAAAACACTTTGAATGTAACAACTCAAGGCGGGAGTAGCCGTCAACAATGCTGAAGATGGTACAGCACGCAACAACCACCCTACTGCTTTCTCTCTGAGATGATCACGTTGGTCATGACGAGAGGAGCAACACAATAGTTGGGTAAAGAAGAACTGCATTATAACACACCATCGACTGGAAATGCTCTCGAAACGTGGGGCTTTAGGTAGTGATGAAAACGTCGCTAGAACTATTCCACAGCCGCAGTCAGTTTATGAGCAATAAGAGGGACGCACATTTTTGCCTGTGGACTTGGAGACATACTCAGGCCTATTCTGCGCGGCGTGTGAGGTGAGGTGACTCGCTCTCACTTGTGAAGTGACAATTGTCACCTCGGGTGAGGTGACTCTCCGTGCAAATCAAATGGAGAGTCACCTCACCCGAGGTGACAATTGTCACTTCACCATCACTTCACTGTCACTTCACCTCACACACCGCGCAGAATAGCCCTGACTTCAAGTCCCCGCGTACATCGTACGGGTTAGGCAAAAATGTGCGTCTATCTTGAAAAACTGTCGCATTAATGGCCCTTCGCTCATTTTCAACTTCTATTCAATTTTCATACTGCCGTACTCTAACGGAACTATCCACCTACCCTCTTCTAAAGATCATTCTCTAGCTAATAAATCATCACACTAAAGCTTCATGTTAGCATTTCCAACCAACTCATTCAAGTTCAGTTATCTGGCAACTGTGGTCGAAACCGGTTGTGCCTCTCAGTGTGTATCACAAGATCGTCCAATACATCCGATAGTAGCTAATGTTTCGGTGTGCTTTGTTCACTGCCTATTGTTGTCGACGTTAGAAAAAGTAAGAGGTTGTATCCAAGATACGATCGTATATTTGATGTAGGATGTCGTGCTCGGTATGAATATTCGGCGACTGTAGATACCACTTTTTTCCCGGTTACCAAAAAACCGGTTTGTCGTGATGGTTGAGTAATGCCGAGCTATTAGGGTGTTCAACACAGATGAGGCTAACGAACTGAATGTTGTTTGAAACGAGGGTGACGCGCTTGGCATAGATGGCCCACAGTGACTCACGAAGAGCTACTGAATCCGATCAGTAGCGGTGTGGCTTCTTTAGCCTTTCAATGTGTACTGTAGAACAATGTTTAATGCCACGCGCCGAAAGCATTTAGATTTTTAAGATTTTGTGACAAGCAATGCATTAGGTATAGGAAAAACGTCACGATAGGGGGGGGGGGGATAAATTTCTCTTCGATTTAGCGTGACATAATTAATGCATGGGCCCAAACGGTAAAGCACGAGGCAATGAAAGAGCAAACAAAAACAGTCAGTCACTCACGAGCAGGCGAGTCACACCGCTTCCCTTCGCTCACACAGCATCAGGCTTGGGAATTGTCAACCTCATGACGATAAACTATGTAACAACGACAACAACAAAAATTCAACGCTCATCTGACAAGCACGATGCAACAAACTTCTGCTTGAAAGACTGATCTACTGGGCTGTCTCTCGACGAAACATTTTCTATTCTTGTCTTTCTCTCATTTGGTCACGAAACATCTGTTGCGTGACGTTTTCCAGAATGACTTAGTTGTTTCACGTACGTCGGACGACAAGATTGACGGAAACTGTCAACATGGTTATTGACGAAAAAAGTCTGTCATGTCATTCTTCCATTCTGTCGCGACAAAACTGCCGCTGGTCGTTTTCTAATAAATGGATGTCGCTTTGGATGCGAGACATAACAAGATAGAAATAACTGGAATTGTGTTGTTTTGACGTGATTTCACCTCTGACTCGAAGTAGCTTGAATCTTGGCGCTGAACTTCGTGTTTGCAGTGATGGGTATTTTTGGAACGGACACAACTGAAAGCTGCCGAAAAACGATGTTTGGAATCCAAGATGGCGGCGTCCGGTTTTAGAAAAAGTGGGAAATACTGCCAAATACCCTTCAATATGTATATTTTCGGAATCGGGATGACCTCTAAACACCAAACATCGTTATCCAGCGCCATCTTTAAATCCAAGATGGCGGCTTCCGGTTTCAAAAAAAGTGGGAAATACTGTCAAATACCCTTCAATATAGATATTTTCGGAATCGGGATGATGTATGGAGACCGAAAATCGATGCCCAGCGCCATCTTGAAATCAAAGATGGCGGCTGCCGATTTCAGAAAAAGTGGGGAATACTGCCAAATACCCTTCAATATGTATATTTTTAGAATTGGGATGTCCTCTAGAGACCAAATATCGATATCCAGTGCCATCTTGATATCCAATTTGGCGGCTTCCGGTTTCAGAAAAAGTGGGAAATACTGCCAAATACACTTCAATGTATATATTTTCTGAATCGGGATGACGTCTAGAGACCGAACATCGATGTTCAGCGCCATCTTTGATTTCAAGATGGCACTGGACATCGATTTTTGACCTTATTGAAATCCAAGATGGCGGCTTCCGATATCAGAAAAAGTGGAAAAAAAATTTCCAAATATCCTTCAATATGGGTATTTTTGGAATAGGGATGACGTCTAAAACCCGTAAATCGATTTCCGACGCCATTTTGAAATCCAAGATGGTGGCTTGAAATTTCAGAAAAAGTGGGAAATACTGCCAAATACCCTTCATATGTATATTTTTGGAATCGTTATGACGACTAGAGATCAAAAATCGATATCCAGCGCCATCTTTAAATCCAAGATGGCAGCTTCCAATTTTAGAAAAAAGTGGGAAATACTGCCAAATACCCTTCAATATGTATAGTTTCGGAATCATGATGACGTCCAGAGACCGAAAATCGATTTCCAGCGCCATCTTGAAATCAAAGATGGTGGCTCCCGATTTAAGAAAATGTGGGAAATACTACCAAATACCCTTCAATATGGATATTTTCGGAATCGGGATGATGTATGGAGACCAAAAATCGATGCCCAGCGCCATCTTGAAATCAAAGATGGCGGCTGCCGATTTCAGAAAAAGTGGAAAAAACTGTAAAATACTTTACAATATGGATATTTTCGGCTCAAAGCTGACGTGCAGATGCCGAAAATTGGAATGCTGAAATGGCGACAGCATCAATTTTCCGTCTATTTAAGGGTATTTGACAGTTTTTTTAAAAACAGGACTGCCATATTAGATTCCAAAATTGCGTCGGACATCGATTTTGAGCCTCTACATATCCTCCCCTTTCAAAATATACCCATATTGTGGGGGTATTTAACATTACTATCCAATTTATCTGCAACCAGAAGCTGCCATCTTGGAATTTAATATGGCATCGGACAGTAATTGCTGGTCCGTAGTTACCACCGCGAATCCCAAAATACCCACATGCATGTGTATTTGACAGAATTTCCAACTTTTCCTGCATCCTGTAGCTGCCATTTTGGATTTCAGGTCACTCATTTTCTATTTCTAGATGTAATTCTCTAGACGTCATTCCTTTTCCAAAAATACTCATATTGAAGGGTATTTGACTGTATTTATATCTTTTTCTGAAACCGGAAGCCGCCACTCTGGATTTCAAAATGGTATCGGACATCAATTTTCGGCATCATACACGCGTCCTGTACCGAAAATATCCATATGGATTCCAAAATGGCGTCAGACATCAATTTTTGGGATGTACACGTCGACCCAGTTCCGAAAATATCCATATTATAGGGTATTTGACAGTTTTTCTGAAGTCACTTACCATCATCTTCGATTCAAAACTGGCGTTAGACCTCGATTTTCGGGATGTCCGTGTAGTCTTCTTCTTTCTTTTTCTTCGCATTTCAAGCTTATTGCATATCGCATATTAGCTTATTGCGTGCTCTCAACTTAGTGTTCTAGATGCACTTCCACAGTTATTAATTGAGAGCTTTCGATGCCTGTATGTACCATTTTTGCATTGATATGATTGTGTTGCAAGTCCAATCATACTTCTATGCCCAGGGAAGTCGAGAAATTTTCCAACCCGAAAAATTCCTAGACCGAACCGGGATTCGAACCCAGCCACCTCCAGCATGGTCTTGCTCTGTAGCTGCGCCTTTATCGACTGAGCTAAGGGAGGCCCCGTGTAGTACTTGTTCCGAAAATACCCAATTTTGATACTTTTTCTGAATCTGAGAGCCGCCATATTGGATTACAAAATATTATCAGACATATATTTTCATCGAACCCGTTCCGTAAATACCCATATTGTAGAGTATAAAGGGTGATACGGTCAAAATTTGGTCAAGGGAAAACGCGTGTAAATCGGTGAAATCGTTTATTTAAAAAATCAAATTAAATTTCTTTTTCAAGTTCAATTAGTATAAAATTCAGGAAAAATATTCAGTTAGGCTTCCGCTTTTCCAAATCCGAATTGCCGGGCCTTACGCTTGACCCCTGCCATCAGATTTTGTACAGCCACCTTGTCCACCTTCTTCGCCGCAGAAAGCCAGTTTGCCTTGAACTGCTGCTCGCCCTTAGCAGTTTTTTTGGTCTTCTTTAGGTTCCGCTTGACAATAGCCCAGTATTTCTCAATTGGGCGGAGCTCTGGCGTGTTGGGAGGGTTCTTGTCCTTGGGAACCACCTGCACGTTGTTGGCGGCGTACCGCTCCATGGCCTTTTTACCGTAATGGCAAGATGCCAAATCCGGCCAAAACAGTACGGAACAACCGTGTTTCTTCAGGAAAGGCAGCAGACGTTTATTCAAACACTCTTTCACGTAAATTTCTTGGTTGACAGTCCCGGAAGCTATCTATGAAAATGCTGCTTTTCAAGCTTTTCAAGTACAGATGGCTTGCCAAACCAGATATTTCTTTGCGAACTTTGACAGTTTCATGTGCTTGAAAACATCTGCTACCTTTCCCCTTCCTTTTGCCGTATAAAACTCCTGTCCCGGAAGCTGCTTGTAGTCGGCTTTGACGTAGGTTTCGTCGTCCATTACCACGCAGTCAAACTTCGTCAGCATCGTCGTGTACAGCCTCCGGGATCGCGCTTTGGCCGTCGTATTTTGTTTATCATCGCGATTTGGAGTCACTACCTTCTTGTAAGTCGATAGTCCGGCTCGTTTTTTGGCTCGATGCACGGTTGTAGACGATACACCCAGCTTATTTGCGGCATCTCGGAGAGAGAGGTTAGGGTTTCGCTTGAAACTACCGGCAACTCTCTTTGTCGTCTCAGCGGCTTCCGGTTTTCGATTTCCCCCCGATCCAGACTTCCTGGCTGTCGACAAACGTTCCCCAAACACTTTAATTACATTTGTAACGGTTGATTTGGCAACTTTTAGCGATTTTGCCAACTTTGCGTGCGAGTAGCTCGGATTTTCGCGATGCGCGAGCAAAATTTTGATACGCTGCTCTTCTTGCTTGGACGGCATTTTGACAACTGAAGAGTGAATTCCAAAATCAAAATAGGAGCAACATTCTACACACACACACCTTCAAAATGAGGGGTGTTCAGGTTTTTTAAATGCAAAATTGAAAGAAATACGTCAAGTTGATATTGACCAAATTTTGACCGTATCACCCTTTATGATAGTTTTTCAGAATCTGAGAGCCACAATGTTGGATTAAACAATGGCGTCGGACATCGATTTTCGGTCTCAAGACGTCATCCCGATTCCGGAAATATCCATATTGAAGGGTATTTGGCAGTATTTCCCACTTTTTCTAAAACTGGACGCCGTCATCTTGGATTCCAAACATCGATTTTCGGCAGCTTTCAGTTGTGTCCGTTCCAAAAATACCCATGGATTTCAAGATGGCGCTGGATGTCGATGACGTCATCCCGATTCCGAAAATATACATATTGAAGTATATTTGGCAGTATTTCCCACTTTTTTTTCTGAAATAGGATAAACCAATATTGAAGGAAAATAACATTATTTCCGGCCTTTTTTTAAATCTGACCTCCGTTTTAGAATGGATGGTTTCTTGTCGTGATCCTCATTTTTAAACGACCTATAGACTTTGTCTCAGGGAACAGAATGAGTGACATATGACTAGAATAGATAGTCGCGACTGGATGGATTCTTGATTTTGTCGTGGTGATCTTGTCGTGCGACAAGAAATTGTTGTTTGACGAGAATTTTCCAGGATGACCATTTTTTAATGTATCTTGTCATGCGTCAATGACAAACGCGACAATTCCCATATCTGCACAGCATGTAATTGAAGCATTTTTCCATAGAAACTGTACGCTCAGTCATTCAAAACAAGGATTGGGTACCATCACGGAAAAAAAAACGTGCTGACTGAGCTACTGACTGAGTGCTCGGCTGTCAGTGATTCGTTTACCTCTCAATCATTCAGACTCTCACGAGGCAGTGAATGATGAGGCATATGGCAGTTCATATTCATATGGAAATGACTCATGAACCTGACTGTTTTGCGCACTGAAAAGTACCCATGCATTTCCTCTTACCATAGTTCTCGATTTTTTTTTAGAAGCAGCTCATGACTTATAGCCTTATAGTATCGAACGCCTACTTAAGATCGAGGAATAATGCATCCGAATATTTCCGACTGTCAATCGTTTAGGTAATTTCATTCAGCAGTTACCATGTAGCAGTGAGAGTGCTACAACCAACTCGGGTTTATGTCATTTGTAGATGAGTTTATTGGAAAATAAAAATTCCGATATCCTTGATGCAATCATCTGCTCAAGTATTTTACCCATCACCGGGTTGCTAAAACGCAATCTGTGTTTTTATTCTAAAACATCTTTTCATCTTAATTTTTGTCCAGAAAATCTGTGATGATATCTGTATTCATTATAATATATGAATTAAATACTATATAAATGTTTTTAGCAAATTGATGAATCTACGTTACGGTCGGCCAGCAGATGAAAATGATGTGAAAATGATAATGACGTTTTGCTAGCTGTCAAATCGTATGGAATATTTTTTAGTACATCATCACTTTTGTGGTTTTGGACTTCAAACCTAGGTGTCGCATGCACTGGTGCAGTTTCGCGTAGATTCATCAATTCATTAAGCGATTTTCCTGTTATTATAATGACTCTTACCACAGAGAACAGACATGGAGGCTCGAACAAAATTTCTCTAAAAACTTGTGTAAAGATTCCTATTTGACTTAAGCGCCATTAACGGCGACTTCCCCACTTAAAAACCCTCTTTGACAACATGACGGCGCTGGCGTTGCACAAATTACACTAGACACTAAGTGCTAGTAGCGCCAAGTGGCAATTTTCAACAGAAAATTTATCGATACTAGCGCCAAATTGGTCGAAAGTGGAAAATTTATAGAGAAAATCAGGAGATGCTAACACCACGTAACGGCGACGTTCCCACTTATTTTACACAAGTTTCTGACCGAGCTTGAACGTCTGTTCTCTGTGCTCTTACTGCAATCACCCAATAAACGTTGTTCTACACTCTACAGTGACATCTGAATTTCATTCTCGAAAAGCACGCCCCTATTATCGTCCGAATCAGACGTTTTAGTTTGACAGTTCTCATAACAAATTGTGTTCCCAACATTCAGTTGATTGCTTTGTGCGAATCAGAAGTAAACAAAATTTTCATCAGCGAAGTATTTCTAAATTTTGAACCAGTTTTCCTGCAAATTTTGCAAAAATGAATCGCCTTTTCGGTAAATCTAAGCCCAAAGAACCTGGCCCAAGCATTGACGATTGCATTAAAGGGGTAAGTTGGATGGATAAAAATGTATGCACCTAGCAAGTTCGATGCAGATTGATGACTCATCTTTGCTCAGTATTTTGTAAAATCGAGTTTGATAGAAAACGCCAACCTTCAAGGTCGGCATTGTTGATTAAATAATGTAACTTTTCCTGAATTCTACGTGTTCCGGGTTGACTTCCAGGTTGATTCCCGAGCCGAAACGATCGATCAGAAAATTCGCACTCTCGATACCGAGCTGCGTAAGTACAAGGACCAGATGGCCAAGATGCGGGAGGGTCCGGCCAAAAATGCCGTCAAGCAGAAAGCGATGCGGGTTCTCAAGCAGAGAAAACAGTAAGTTCAGAATTGGATAAGTTTGAACATTTTTCGATAGTATTGCACCTTCTGCAGGTACGAGAGTCAGGTGGAAAACCTGCGGAACCAGTCCTTCAACATGGAGCAAGCGAACTTTGCTTCCCAGACTCTTAAGGATACCCACTCAACGGTGGCGGCCATGAAGGATGGCATGAAGTCGATGAAGAAGGAATTCAAAAAGATCAATATCGAAGAGATCGAAGACATACAGGACGATATGGCTGACATGCTGGAGCAGGCCGACGAGGTCCAGGAAGCGATGGGACGTACCTACGGAATGCCGGAGCTTGACGACGATGAATTGCAGGCCGAGCTGGATGCGCTGGGTGATGAGATTGCCTTGGATGATGATACCAGCTATCTGGATGATGTGGTTAAGGCTCCGGCTGCACCGGATAAGGAACCGGGAGCGGACAGTGTTACCAACAAGGACGGAATACTAGTTGACGAGTTCGGATTGCCACAGATCCCGGCGCAAGTGAAAAGCACCTAAATCGGGGTTTCTGTGAGTGAGAGTGGACTTAGTCAATGCTTGCGATCGTTCTTTTCGTTTTCTTTTAATTTGTTTAGTTAAGGCTTATGATATCTGTGAAAAAGAACTGCACGACCGGAGATACATTCATGTTTAATTAATTATTCACCTTATTGAGTAAAAAAATATGCTTTTTTTTCTTGTGACTGTTATAAAAAAAAGAGTGAACAAATCCAAAAACTATCAAGTGGAACATGGCAGTGAACAGCAGGTCCAGAAAACGAAGAACGGAAGGAAGGAACCTACTCGCTGATCTCATCGATAACAGGTACGTTCTGCAAATCTGAACATTTCCTTCTTAGTAGCGCTATTTGTTCCTTCAAATATCGTTCTTTGGCAGCTGCTCGGCTTAGCAAAATCTTAGCCTTCTCTAGAAGTTGACTTTTCTTCTCCAACACATCTTTCGAATTTTCCGTTTCCTCGGGGTCACCGATCTTTGTAGGATCTCCAGGATGGCAACGGGGACAAGTGGCACTGGATAGCAGTTCAACCTCGATCTGAAGGGCGGCCACTCGATTCAAAGCTTCGCTGTAGCTTTGCTGAAGCTTTTCGTGTTCCTTCTTCAATCGATCGTAGTTATCCTTCGTCACATTGGGGGAGGATTTCGCGCCCCTGTCGGAGGTCAAAGTTCCCAACGGGCAAGTCTTGTTCTCCTTCAGTTGCTTGTTCTCTACTTTCAGCTTTTCAACCACCCTTCGCAGGGCGATAACCGTTTGCTCCAACTTGGAGTTGTAGTCTGCCAGTTCACTGTTGCTCACGGTTCCGTTACCCGAGCGGGAACATCGCTGGCACAGGTTATCGAAGTTGATCGTTTCCGGACACCCAGCCGTTGCCTTGGATAATTCTTCCTTCAGCACGATTATGTAGCTGCGTTGCAACAGGAGAGATTGCTTAATTTGGGGGAATTCAAACGAAATTTACGAAACCTTACTCTTCGAGATGCTTAATCTGGCTTCGGAGTCGTTCGGCCTCGTCGCTCTGCCGCAGCATGTCGTTGTCCAGCTGAAGTTGCAGGGTTTTCGCTTCCAGTCGGATGTTCTGTGCCTCCAAGTTGGATATTTTCTCCTGCATCCGTTCAAATTCGTGGGTCATCGTGTTGGAGCCCTGTGAGGGGAGGGAACATGGAATTTTTCAATTAATCAAGACTTGTGACTTGAGCAGATCCACGCCAGTGACGAATTTGTTTTTCCCTCTCTGAATTCCATTGAACTTGGCATAATTGTTCGCTAGGAGCAATGAACCAAGTTTGTCACTACCCTAATTGTTCGAAAACAAAATAATGAAAAATTAGGCGGGTGTCAAAATGGTCGAATTCCAGCACAATCTCGGTTCATTGCCCCTAGCGAACAATTATGCGAAGTTCAATGGAATTCAGATGTTCACTTACTTTCCGTTCTAACTCCATGGCAATGATCCTCCGCTGCTGCGACTCGATCCTGTTCTTCAAGGCCTCGATAATCTCCTTGCTGTTCTGTGCAAACGTATTTATCTCGGTACTGGCCTCATCCGATCCGGTACTCTCCGTTGTACACGAATCCGGTGATTCCGCCGGAGTAAACTTACTGTCACCGGTCACCTGACCGTACCGCGCTCCCACCGTACCCGAACCGGCACTACTACCACGAATACTTCGTCCTTCCAAAATAGCCTTCTCTCGCTCCAGTCTCACAATCGTGTTCTTCGCTGAATTGAAGTGAACCTTTAACTTATCCAGTTCAATCTCACGCTCCTTCAGCTGAACCTTTAACTTGTCGGCCATCTGCTGCCAGCGTTTCTGCTTGTTCCACAGATCCAGCTCGGCTGCATTCTTCGCACGACGGTTCTCATTGATGCTGACCTGCTTTCGCAGCTCATCCTTCGTATCCAACATTTCCGTTTCCAACTGCTGCACCTTTCGAGATAAGTGCTCTTCTCTCGGAGTCGGAGTCCGGTCCGGTTTCATTGAAATCACCGGTCGCTTGATCAGTTGATTCTTCAGCGTCTTCACCAAATCACGGGACTGCTTCTCACGCTGTTGAATACTCAGAACCTGCCGTTTCAGTGCGTCTATTTGCGTTCTAAGAACACGGTTCGAAGCTTCACTACGATTCAAATCCGCACTCAACTGCGATACCTGCTCCGCTGAGTGCAACGACGTGTCGTTCATGAACTTCTGCTGATCATCCTGAAAATTAACAACATGTATTAAGCAATCGTAATTGTTATTTTCTGAACTTACATGGAATTGAGTCAACGTTTCAGTAAGATCCTGTATGTGACGGTCTTTCTCCTCTAGCATTTCCTTCAGCTGCTCAATCTCTTGTGCGCTTGCTACGTTATCGGTAAACTCTCTCAAATCTTCATGCTCCCTGGCAAACCGCTCACTCATCGCTACCATCTCCGCTTCTTTCTCTCGCAAACTCTTCGTCACGCGCTTCTCTTTCATGGTCATCTCCCTCAGATTCGCTTGCGTCTTACGCAGCTCTTCGCTTGCATCTTGAAGCTTGTTCTCCAACACTTTGGATCGTATCTTCAGTCCTCCAATCTCTTCTTCCTTCTTCTGGTCTATCTCGTAGATATTTTCAATGATTTTGTCCGTGTAAACCAGCTCTGGATTGTCAGCATGTGCCTCGGCCTGTTTGGCTTCACGCTCCACAGCTGCCTCCTCTTGATGCGTCTTCAGTTGATTCAAATCTCTCAGCTGTGTGTTCAAATTGTCAACCTCCTTCTGCTTATCGTACACCCTCTGTTCCAACTCATCAATGTTCTTCTTCAACGCTCTAATCTGTGCAATATTTTCATCGTATGTTTTCGAGTGCTCTTGGCGCTCGTTCCGCAGCAGTTCCTGATACCTCGACAGGGTCGTGTCCTTTTCCACCAGAATGCTTTGAAGCGAACCAATCGTTGACTGAAAATGATCTAACTTTAGTCTTTGAAATTCTACAACTTACCTTATCGTGAGCCTACGCTAAGGATATTATCATCCAGCTTGTCACTGTTAGCCGCCGCTTGCGCTGCCTTTTCCTTCCTCAACTGAGCATCCTTATCCTCCAGCGCTCGCTCGAGCATTTTGATCCGACCGTGACACTCCGTCAAGCGACTTTCCGTTTCCAGTAGCAGGGCACTGCGGGTCGAAGCCAACATCATCGCTTGCTTCAGTTGGGATTCCAGGGATTTCTGCAACGCCACCGGCACCGATGGAACCGTTGGTTGTTCCTTGGGCAAGTCCTCTGCCATCTGGCCTGCATCGGAGGTTTTCCGAACCGGCGTTGTATTTGCTGGCGGGGGTGTTCCCCGACGGGGTTTCTCCGCCAGGCTGTCGTCGATGATCGGGATGGTGTTGATGCATTTGTGGCTGATCTCTGACGTTGGAAAATGGGATTAGATAACGTGTTGAAGTGTTTGTGAACTAATGGACAGGACATACCAACAGACACTTGAACTTCTTTGTCGAAGAAACGATCATTTCCTTTGGTGGGTTTTTGTTTCCCGCTGAAGACCAATTCAATCGTATCCCAGTGTCTGGTATCTTCGACCGATTTTAGTTTTAGGGCAGAGTTCTCTTCCTGAAGCTGTTCGATCTGCTCCTGGGATAGGATCAGCTGTTTCGTGAGGTATTCGCATTGGCTTTCGAATTTGATCAACTGAAATTAGGAGTACAGAGTGAACACTATATAGGAAAAATGGTCCAGAGTGAGATTATGCAAACTACATACACTTAAATGAATACTAAGTTACTTACTAAGGCAAACCTCAACAAACTTTCAGTACAAATTATATTTTTCTTGAGGAATAAGGCTAGGCTCTCACCAGCAGCCGCCCAATTACGGCCCCACCAATTAATTTAAAATTCCACCCATTGCTTGTTCCTTATTTCCGGGTGGCACGTGCCCATTCGTCTTTCTTCTGTAGCGAGAGGGTCAATGCCCGTGTCAAGGACTAATCTTCGGACAATTTACCCTGAGTTAGCTGACGCAGCAAGTCAGCAAGCTGGAGGTCCTTTTCATGTCTCCCTCTGAAAGCCGGAGCTCCAGGCTGGTGTCGTATTAGCTCCTTCTTCTTCTTCTTTCCTTTATTTAATGTCTGTCTCTGTTCCGCAATCTAGTGCCAATCACCGACGGACATCGATTGCCATCCATTGACGGCAATCGAATGTGCAGGAAGGCAGCTGCGTAGGATATCGCACCCATTCTACACACATGGGCCGGGACCAACGGCTTTACTTCCCTTCCGAAGAAAGACGTGACCAGAGATTTTTATGCCTCAGAAAAATCCCACCGACCTCGGCTGGGATTGAACCCAGACCCATTGGGGTGAGAAAGTAGTCACGCTTACCGCTACACCACCGGCGCCGGCCGGGTTTTAGCTCCAAGGAATCTCCCCACCGGTTGTGCTGAAGGAATAGAAGCCTCCAATGTGGCGAGTAGACTTGAAAGTGAAGGGATTTAAAGTGAACTAAGCACCCGGTCGGGATGAAATTTGTAAACGTGGTTATGAAAACGGCGATTCAGGCATTACCGGATATGCGCAGGGTGATGATGCAGGAATATCTATAGACAAAGGTATGGCTGCCGAAACCAGGAAAGCTTGCTGAATACACTTGGAAAATTTCTGGAAATGCAAAGCATTATCCTCAATAGGCTGACGGATATTTTTGTAAACAATGACTTCTCTCGTTGATTTCTAGCTACTCAAGGCACGCCTATACAAACCAGCATATCCATCGGGTTTTCCCCTATTCGATGCTAATGTTGATTTGCCAGGAAAAGTCATGCCTTTCGAGAAATCCTCGAGAGAAGCCATTGTTTACAAAAGCTGTTACGCCCTAATTCCAGCTCTATCTAGATGTAATCGAGAACTACATCGGGGCTGTGGTGATGAATGGATGCGCGAACAAGGTAGAGCTCCTCCGTATGAGGCAATGTCCCCGTCCAGCAGAGATACTTCGACGGTAGAAAAAATAGTTTCTGGAACTCTGGGCAGTTACACAGCACGTATTCCACCTAGGCGAGGATGCTACAAATTCGGCAAACCTTGCGGAAAGGTGTCCCACAAAAATTGCAGCAAATCCTCGCGTGGTCGGTCCGGAGTCTTGAAATGATCCTTTACTCCTTGTACTTGTGGCTGTCCATCCAGGGTCGTACGGTTTCCTTGATCTTCCTCAGAAAAGTGGACAACGAACCATTCCTGCTGCCAGGATTCCATGATAGTATTCGCAATTCAACGACTGACGTCTAGGAGCGTTCCTGGTGTAGTGGAGACCGGATGGACCAGATCCCACCAGTCTGTCCGCAGCCTTGTTTCCGGGAGCACCCCAGTGTCCGGGAATCCACGTAAACACGGTAGAAGTCTTTACGTGGATTCCCGGACACTGCGGTGGCTTTCGGTTCATCTACCGGATGGCTGCATCTAGAATAGCTGTGGCTTCTGCGGAAAAAACGTCCGGTAGAATTTGATTTGTTGCAATTTTCGGTCCTGCCACTCCGAGTAAAACTCCAGCCCGCTACTGCAATCCGTCCGTAAAGCGATGAACGTGCCCCGGGTAAACCAACCCGAGAAGCTCTGCAACAGAATGCCTCAACCCTCAACGCTGCAGAGTTATCTCCAGCTACTTAGGAATCCTCTCTTAATCCGCCATTCTATTTTGACACCACTGTGTTTGGTTCGATTACTGCGCCGTGATAACGATAGACGTCAAGAATGCATTCTATAGTGCCAACTGTGGAGTCACCGCTCAAGCGTTACACATAATGGCGGCCCCTGACTAGCTATGCCGGATTCTGCATTTTACATTGAAAACCGCGCAAAAGCAATGAGCACTATACTTACATTGATCTTATCCTGGATTTGACTGGTATCAATATTTTCCCGTAGCTTCGCAAACAACCGCTCGTATTCTTCGTCCCTGTTGATGATTGAGCTCTGAGTCGTTTCTTGGAGCAAACTCTTCTTCATTTCCAACAGTTTAGCATACTGCTTCACGAAATCCATTACGACATAGGTCGGTGTGTAGGAATTGTAATTCTCGTGTAACATTTTTACACTTTGCGTAAGAAATCTACAAACAAAATACCACATTACTACAATTGCTATTAGACTTTCACACAAATTAGCCTTACTTAATTTTAAGACCATTATCCTTTTGACGCTCGATAAAGTCCAACTCTTGCTGCCCCAACCGTTTCTTCAGCTGGTTCAATTCCTCACTCGCGTCGACCAACGATTGCTGCAATTTTGCATTATCCAATTTGAGCAGCTCCGCTTGTTCTTTAGCTGTAAAATCAACACAATTAAGCAATTCCCAACCGTTTTCGTTAGTTGAACGTGGTCGAACCTACCTGCATCCAGCTCTTTCTGCGTTTTCACCAGCAGATACTTTTCGTTGGATGAACTCTGCAAATCAGCCACCAAATGCCTCAAGCTGATCTCTTCATCCGAATATTTGGAAATCAACATCTGCTGCGATCGAATCTGCTCCTGCGATACCTTTAGCAACTCTTCCAGGTGACCATTTCGGACGGTTTGCTTTCTCAGCTCCTCTTCGGTTGTCTTCAGTTGCTTCTTGATTTTCTTGAACTCTTCCTTCGATATGAACTCTACGGTCAGATTGGATTCCACCAGCCCGATCCGGGATAAGTTTTCATACTCCAAACCCAAGATGTTATCCTTATCGACTTCCTGGATATTCTTCAGGAATATTGTATAAAAATTGGCCGTCTCAAGCTTCATCCGCTCGATCTCACTCTCCAACCTTTCGATCGACTCGGAGTCTGGACTTGTTCCATTCCTTCCATCGACAATCGATTGTTGTTCCAGCTTCTTCAAGGTACTGTTTTTGCTAGCCAGCTCCGTTTTCAACCCGTGCAGAATAGTCAGATGATCCACCTCGATTATCCGCATTGTGTTGTGCATATTGTCGTTTTCGGCTTTGAGAAAGTCTGTTTTCCTCTGGAAGGCGCATATATTCGATTCTATCAGCTTTAGCCGCTCTAACGTTTCCACCAGTATCTTATCCTTCTCATTGTCGGTTGATTTTGTGAATTGCATTAGTTCGTCATACAGATTCCTTGTCACCACAAGATCGTCATTCGATTTTAGCAATCGTTCACGCTCTTCTTTGAGAGAATCGATCTGATCATTCAAGTGATCGATTTCTACCGACTTCAGCAGGACCTGCTCGCCAAAATCCGGCTGTTCTGCCATCCCTTGATCTATATCGACTGTATTCTCTTCGTCGTCGCACACATTTCCGGAATCATCTCGACTACCCAAAGAGAACGTACTTTGCTTACTCTTGAGATTCAAGCGTTCCTTCAGCAATATTTCCCTTTCCCTCGTGGCAAGCAACTCGTTTTGCAACCGCATCGCAGGATGATACCAACCACTTACACTTCTCGCATCCAATGCATGCAACAATCTTTCCAACGTGGACGTATCGATCGTTAGGTGGTTGGACATGGCATCGTACTCGCGTAGTTTCTGCAAAATTTCGTGCATTCCTATCCTCAAGTTCTCATTTTCCTCCACGACGGCAGCATACTTCTTCTCCAGTTCGTCCATCTTTTCATTAACCATCGGAATTTCATCTGAGTTGATGTTCACCTTCAGCTTTTGGACGCATCCATCGCAGTAGTTGAAGCTCTGCCGGAAAATACATGCCTTGCAGTACCTTCTACTGTCATTGACGTTGTATTGTTTCATACATTTCTCACAAAACTTCACCGCATCCCCGTCGCTTAGCTTTGAGATGTCATCCGCATCGACTGAAGCTTCAACCACTGTCTGCTGGTTGGTCTCTTCGCTTTTATCTTTGTCCGAACTTCTCTGACTGCTCAGAGATTGGGACAGCTGAAATAGTTTTCTCCTAAAATAGAAAACGTCTGTTAACTGAAGTCTATGGAAGCTAACGGAGCTTACTTGAGGTCATTCTTCTCCAACTTGAGCTGAAGTCGCATCTCCTCTGAAGCCCTGAGCTTCAGTGCCAATCGATCGTTGACCTTCTCAATTTTCCTCTGCTTAGACAGAACAGAATGAGTTGGTATGACTTCATCATCGCTGATATCTAGACGTTTCCTGCAAATTGATCCAGTCATTACGTCTGAAAAACATACATTTTCCCAACAAAAACCTACCTCAGCACAGCATTTTCCATCGCAATCTCATTTGCCAGGTTGATCTCTGCCACCAGCTCGCGAATCTGCTTATCCCTCACATTGACCTTCTCATGCAATCTGTTAATCTTCTTCAGCGCTTTCGCTAGCCCTTCCTCACCACTTTCATAGCTTCTCAGCGCCTCAATCGCTTCTACCGCTTGTCTCGACTTCAACATGTTATCCTCTTCCACACTCGTCAAAATTTCCTGCATCTCCTCGCACCGTTTGTTTGCCTTCTCCAGCATCACTCGACTTTCCTCGCAACACTGACTTACCTTTACCGATTCTTTACTGGCGTTCACCTTCTCTTGCGAGATCCTATTCATCACCTCCGTCGATTTCAGAATCTCCTGCGATAGCATCGTGATTTTCTTCTCTAGCTCTTCAATCATCTCATCCTTTTCTCGAAGTCTCCCGCCCATCTTTTTAAATTCCTTCCTCTCCACGTCAATATCATAACCCGGAAACTGCTCCAGCAGTTCCGAATATTTTGTTTGAATTTCTTCCAGCTCTGCCTGCTTATTGTCCAAAATTCCTTTCCAACGCTCAGTGCTTTCCTCCAACTGCTTTGCAAATCCATCCAGATCATCTTCACACCTAGCCTTTTCCTCCGCCAATCCCTCCACATCTTCCTCCAACTTCTTAATCTTGTCGTTGGCTTCCTCAATCAATGCTTCCTGTTCCTTCAAGACCGCTTGAGCTTCCTCGTACTGATGCGTCAACCCCGTCAGATTCATCGTTGCATCGTTCAAGCTAACCTGCAAACTGTTGATCGTATCGATCTGAAAGCTGTTTCGCTTCTCCAGGTCGTCAATGTCCCGCAGCAGCCGCTTGATGTGCTTGTTCTTCATGCTGATATTGTTGTACAGTTCCTGCTGCCGGTCGATTTCCGACAGTGCATCCGGGGAGTCTTCGCCTTCGCTGCCAAAGTGACTGCTTTCGGTCAGTTTCTTCTGCAGCGAAGCCGTCTCCTCGGAAAGCTCCTTGATCCGGATGCGGTACGAGTGCTTGTCCGCTTCGAACTTTTCGACGATTCGCTTCATTTCTTTGAGCTGATCACGGAGCTCTTGCGACGGGGATGCTGGAATAGGAATGAATGAATGTTAGTTGATGTTATATTCAGGTCCGAAGGCACCTGCCTAAGGTCATGTAGGTTTACAGTCCTAGAACTTCTCTAATAATTCGGAAAATACTCATTCATGGGTTAATGACGGCTTCGGAAATATCGTTACCTATTATCGTCAGGGGGTAAATGAAGATATTGAGCGCTCATTTTTTGCAGGAACTTTACAGATATTCCAAAAAGCTTCAAAGAAGGGGAGTCAGGAGAGTTGCGAGAACCTTAATGAAGTACTGAAAACTATAGAAAAGCTATGAAAACTTTATGATAGGTAGTTTCACTAACATCAGGAAAATTACATTCAAGAAGTTCTGAAAACTTCATGGAAATTCCAATAATTTCAAGGATGTTACGGAAATTTCAGGATTATTCATAGAGATACAAGGACGTCCAGAATTACAGGGAAGTTTTAAGATCCTTTATGTTGAGTCAAATAGATTTCAGAAAAAAAACGAAAACATTAGTGAAGATCAAATAGCTTTATGGTACTTCCATGCAATTCAGGAAAATTGCAGAAACTTTACAGAAATTCCCAAAACGTCAGTTGACTTTAAAAATCTTAAAGGAAGTGATCGCAGGGACAGTTCTAAGAACTTCCAGGAAATCTGTGGGAGAATCTGGGAAGTTTCAAGTAGCTCAGGTAAATTTAGAGAATTTTGAGGCAGTTCCATTAAATTCAGGAAAATAGCGAGAACTTTCTAGAAGCTTCAAATATTAAAGATAATCCAGAAAGTATCAGGGATGTTTAGAAAACTTATTAAAAAAATCGTAAATTTCATAGAAGCTCCGAAAAATCAGGGAAGTGAAGAAAACGAATTTATTAGGTACTTTAAAGATGTTCCAAAGTATGAAAGGAAATACCGAGCATTTGGATGTTTCACCAACAAACTGAAGATGATAATAGAAGATATGGTAACTTTTTATCGGACACTTTAGAGAAGTTTCCAGAACTTCAAGGCGGTTCAATCAGCTTTAGGAAAACGACAGGAACTTTTAAAAGGTCTAAGAACTTCAGGAATATCCAAAGCACTTAAGTGAAGTCAAGCAAACTTCAAAGAAGTGCAGAGAACTTGAAGAAAATTTGTGGCGACTCCAAATTCCAAGAACCTCAGAGAACGTCTAAAGATCTTCAGAAAAGCTCAGAGATCTCAAGGGCAATCCCAATTGCTTCAGGAATGCCCAGAATTTTGGGAAAGTTTATAGATGTGTAAAGGTAAGCTTCGAACAATTCAAGACAGCTCCATAAATTTCAGAAAAAAAAACAATCCAGTAGCTTTAAGAAGTTTTAGAAATTTATTTGAAGTTCAGAACTCTTTAGAAACTAAGAAATTTTGAAACATATATTTGGAACTTTACAGAAGTCCAGAGATTTCACCGCAGTTTAAAGATTTTTAGGACGATTCCTTTTATTTCAAGACAGTAATAAGAACTTCAGGAGTATTACGAGAGCTTCAGTGTAGTTTTGAGAACATCTTGGAAGATCAGAGAACCTTAAGGTGTTCAATTTACTTCTAGGAAATTATTCTACAGAAGGTCCAAGAAACTCAGAGAATTTAGGAAAACTTCAGCATACAGGGGATGGACAAAATGATGGGCATGTTTCGGATTTTTGTGGGAGTAGTTATAAACATATTTTTTTTCTGGTATGAAAATGTATTTGAATTCACATGTTTTCCTGTTTTTAGAATCAATTTTGAATTCAATGCTGGCCACAGATTCATGATCTGTTGAGAAACAACCGGCATTTCCTTGAAATCGGTTCCGGTAAAGTGACCAGTAATGTTAATCTTTTGAATCACGTCAAGATGGGTATCAATCCTCATGATTTTTCAGCGCGATGTCTGCAAAATCGTTTCCACCATCACAAGTTGCGATGGTCATCCTGGAGCAGGTTCTGAATTCTCCGTAGGAAGTGGCCATTTTGGGACACGACCAGAACCATATCAATATCGGTGTCAAACTTCAATATTTTGCAAGCCAATGCCAATGGCAGGGCTGGTAGCAATGACTGCTGTTAAAAATAGTGATTTTAGTGACCATGTTGATGAAATAAGTGACCAAATAGTGAGTTATATTTGTAAAAATAGTGACTAAAAAGTGACCTAAAAATTATTTTTAATGAAAACTCTTAGGTATTTCTGAGGAGCACAACTCCTGTGAGCTTCAGAGGAAAATTGCAAGGGCATTCTGAGCATAATTTCATAAAGTTTGTGGGAGAAAACGAATCCGGAGCATAAGTCCTTGGATTTTTTTTGAAAATACTAAAAAGAGGATTACAATTAAATGTGAGAATAACTCCAGGATATCTTCAAAGGAATTCGGAAAATGAGTTCAGGATAGTTTGCCAAACAAATTATGAGAAGAAATCTAAGGAATTTGTGAAAACTTTCAATGTGAGTAGAATTCCAAGGGAAGGAAATCTGAAATGAATTCAATGAACATTCGGAGAATTTTTCGAAAGAGTTTCTTATTGTTGAAAATTTCAATGTAATTTCAAGGAAAACTAAAAATTAATTCGGAGGATAGCTTCACCAAAATTTTGAGGAATATTTCAATGGAAATCTCCGTTGAATATGGAATGGACTATTCTGAGGTTTTCAGAACTACTTGAAAGTTCTCAAAATTTTCCTGAAGTTAATGCAACTGCCTTGAAGTTCTTTTGCAGTTTGATAAACTAGCCTGAGCCTCACAATACTTCTCATCAAATTCTTTAACTTCCCTGAACTTTTTAGGACTTCCTAAAGTGTCCTATTTTTTTTTCAATGATCATGGATCACCTCTAAAGGTTAAACAATTTGCTGAAGTTCTCTAAACTTCTTTAAAATTTATGTGACTTCTCTAACGTTAACGGAACTGCTCTGAGGTTCTATGTTCTTTTCTGAAATTCTCAAAACTTCTCTAAAGTTTTTGCAGTTCTTATGAAGCTTGTTGCACTGCGCTGAATTTAATTGAACCGTCCTTAAAATGTTTAAGCTTCAGTGAACTTCTGAACTTATGCGAAGACCTCAATTAAGTTTTTAACGTCTCCGAAGTTATCTGAAAATCAGGGAACTGCTTTAAATTTCCCACTAATTTTCTGAAACTAATGGAACTGACCTCTCCCTGAAATTCCTCCAATTTTCGGAGCTTACTAAACTTCTTTCAAATGCTAATGGCATTTTTCTAATGTTCATAAAAATTCCTGAAGTTCGCGGATCTCCCCTTAAGCTCAATAGACTTCTATGAAGTTTTCGAAATGTTTCTGAAGACCACTGTCGTTCTGTGAAGTTTTCGAAGTTTTTCTAAATTCCTCGAACTTTTGTGCTCTCGCAATTTACATAGAATTCGAACGAAATAATTAATATAGTTCTACCTATGATTTTCATTGAAATTCTCAAGATTTTTCTGAAGTTCATGAAACTTCAAGGGGTGGTCACTCTACACACTTGTTTTGCGCCAACTTTTTTTCTCAGTGTACCTCAGTGTGCCGCAGCTGTACCGGCAGTGCAAAGAAGTCATTGAACTGACTTTTGATTGCTTGTGAGTAATGCCTTGTTTGGCAACCCGGTATTTTAACAGCTCTTGTTTTTGTTTTGTTTTTCAATGTTTTCAAAAACGACACGGACTTCAGTTGGGACTACACACTGGATGCATCCGTCTATAAGGATACCCGTAACGGACGAGCTCCGTTGCTACACGATCCTTCCATCTTCGGCGGAAGGCCGAACCCGCTCAACGAACGTCAATCATTAGTCAACCAACTCTTCTGGGAGCCGGCGGAGGAAACGGATTTGCACCGAATTTTTCACCGTCCGAGTATCATCCGTCGGAAAACTGGAAACCAACACCGGCCGGAACACACGTCGGACCGCTGACCCGAAACGGACCAGCCAATTTTCCAAGCAGAACTACTTGTCAGAGTCCACCAACCCGTACACCCTGCCGGACAATTCGATCAGCTTCAAGGTCTACAGCGCCTCCAAGAACAATCGCTTCCCAGGCCAGCAAAAATCGCATTCTATACTTCTTCAATACCCCACCCGTATGCCGTCCGAGGATCTGCTGCTGACCGCATTCACCACCAAGGACTGCCACCCGTCGCAAGTGCGAATGTTCCCGCTGAAATCGGAAAGTTCCTCCTCCGGATTGGTCGAGTTCCCGAACGTAGCCCTGGCGGGGAACGCCATCCTGAAGCTCAACCACAGCGCGATCGATCACAAATGCACAAAACTCCCGTTCATTATGAAGCTGTTAGTTGGAAGTGCAAAAAGGCAGGAGAGTAAACATAATTTGTTGAACTATTTGAAATTTTGCCAACATTATACGAAGGACGATGTAATGGTTGGTGAAGCAGCCACCGCCATGGATGTATTCGAGCAGTTCGAATGGTCGGATGGTATAGTTTTTGTTTGGTTGTTGACTTTCCGATTAAAACTCAAGCACCGCTTGTCATGACCGGCCCAAGATTTCCAGCGTCGGCCACGGCTACACGAATTTGCGATGCAGCTCCCACGGTTGCGGCTGATTCCAATGCTGCTGCTGCTGTTCCTTCTGCTGGTCCGTCTCCGCAGCAGTGGGAGCTGCATCGCTAGTTCGTGTAGCTATGGCCGGAAACCTCGGACAGGTCAAGATACCGCTGTTAGTTGTTCTTCGTCTGGAAGGAAATGTGGGTGCGACTGCCGTCACGGGTGTAACGATTTTGAGAATCCATGGCGAGATTTGGTGGAGATTCACGGTTGTTTTGAAAATAATTTGACTAGGAGTGGCAACATCAATAACAAATTTTGACACATGCACACTGCGCAGACGCAGAAAATGTTCAGTGTTGCCAGTAGCTTTAAAGATCATAAAAATTGTAACCATGGGTGCCAAACAACGCCAATGACTGCACCCGGGTGTGCCCAAGTTTGATTTTGGCACACTGTGTAGAGTGACCAACCCCTTGTGAAACTTCCATTCAATTACCGACGCTAAATTAAAAC